TCACCTGCTCCAAATCATTTTTTTGGGGTAAATGTCTCAGCTAAACGAACCTTAGTTGACCATTCCCAGCCTTTTTTCAAAAAAATGAACAATTTTGAAGTGCATGGCTTCAGACAACTAGAACTTTAGCTCCTTCTTTAAGATTTTAGTAAATCACAAAGTGAAAGTTTTCCCTATTTCAAAGTTCTAAAAAACACCCACGATAAGTACTCTACACAAATCCTAAATTTCATTGTTCTACTTTCAAATTCTAACTATAATATAAATATTTATATTTAGATTTGAGGGACTATTGTGTTGTGAAAATAACCACTACAGAAAAATAACCACCGCAACAAAAATCTTGATAATAGTAGTCCATGCATCATATGAACAATCATGCATAGAGACATAAGCTTACGTGAGTCCACGTGGAGACATAAGTCAAGTTGATAAAGTCAACAAAGGTCCAATTGATTAGAGTGGCTGGGAAAATGAATGGCAAAATCAAAGAAAAGAATCTAAAACTCTTCATTCCGAAGCTCTCCATCCCAAAGACCTTCATTCTGAAGCTCCATTTGGCAGAAGCCCTCTCTAGCTCTCAAAAGATCCGTAGGAAATCTTTAGGAATGATTGAAGTGATGTTTGTAATAATGAATGTCAAAGTTTGTTAGCCTAGGACGTATGGTGACTGACTCGTTGTCAATGTATTAAATACGCAGTAGAGTAGTGATATGATACTTCGACTTGGGAGATGAGGCCATGTGATTCCTATCCACTGGTTACCACTCGGCTAGAGATCTATAAATAGCAACTCTTGTAACATTTGAATCTAATGCTACTCTTTACACTTAAAAGCCACTTTCGACATTTTCTGGCTTATTTCACATTCTTGTTTACTTGATTTTAGATCATCTTACTTTGATTGAGTTGCTTATAGTTGATGATTAATACGCAATCACATTTAACCATGACGTCGGTGTTTGAACATTTTTTCCTTGCGTGTTAGAGCATCTCTCACGTTCATATATAGCGGCCCCGACCGACCACGTTTTCAGTCAAAGCGTGTAGGAATTTGCGTGCTTGAACACAAGTAGGCTCGACATTTGTTGTTCACATCATCCTTACAAAAAGTGAGGTTAACGACGTCCATGTTTCCTTAATTGCATCAAGATTTAACCTCAAAGGGTTAAATTGTAGATGACTGAAAGACTGAATGTGTTCCTGCAATAGGTAGGATGTAAACTGTTTGTTCATCTTGTCGGAGAGGTAGCCAACGGGGTTGGTATTCGTACAATATGAGTTTCAGTTGATGATTTCTGTAGAATACCTTGCTTTTTAACAAGTTTCAAGATTTCAAATATGATTGGAGGAGTTGGTGAGGTAAGGATCTCTCGACGAAGGATCTTAATCTCCAGATTTCATATCTGTGTAGTGTCGATCGAAAATAGAAGTCAGAAATGGTGGTGGTTTGCTTGTGGGTGTTGGTGGTGGATTTCGACCAAGAATGTGATGGTATTTATTGGTTTCAAACGGGTAGCAGAATGTGTTGATCATGTTTTGTGGTAGTTGCATTGGCATTGGCAAACGACGGTGTGGAATGGTTTTAGACTAGTAACATAATGTGTTACCTCGTGTTTTTTTTAGGGCAGATAATGGTGTGTAGTGATTTGAATTATGTTACTCGTATTTTGTGGTGGTGATGGAGAAGATGATGCTGAGTAATCTTAGATGAACAATATAACGTGTTACTCGTGATTTGTGATGACAGTGTTGGCAAACGGTGATGTGAAGTGGTTTCATGCTATGTTACCCGTATTGGTAAAGTAATGATAGCAAATTGTGTTTATTATGTTTGTACGAATAACGTTCATATAAAACATTGATTTTTTTAATAGAAAGTAAAATATTGCTTTTAAATAATAATAAAAAAGTGAAATATTTTAACAACGCTCTACAAGTAACATATTAGCACATACACCCCAACGGGTACTTCATAAAATAGTTTAGTTTTTAATGAAAAATTAAAATATTGATTTTAATGATAAGGAGGTATATGTTAAAAAATATTATAAAGGGATATTTTTTTTTAAAATTGGAGAATAGACACAAAATTCTTTGAATAGTAACAACTCTAATAATGGCAAAAAAAACCGTCCTGCCTCGACGGGTTGGTGGGGCCGGGCGAGGAGGGGGTGCCCTACCCCGAAACTCCCCGAACCCTTCCCGTGAAGAATAAAAAAAATAATTAACTAGAAATTAAAAAAAATATAGTTAATTAGAAGTTTTTGAAAA